CCACCAGAGAGTAACAAGGAATAATGAGAGGCTTAAAGAACTGGACAAGCTGGAGCCCCAGGAAGAGGCTGCTGGTGTTGTTCTGAATTGCAGAAAGAAAGCTCTGAGACGTCAGATTCGCTGGATCCATTGCCTTTTCCCACTGTTATAATTTTCTTGCCAATAACATTAATTTGGGCACATAAACATGCCCGTATGGTCATTATTATTATTTTTTTAAAAAAATCATCCTGGGAAGATGGACAGATTCTATCTTGAGTTTGGCCACCTTACATTTGCACATATTCACCTGCAAAAGACAAGACGCAGAGGTGAGCCTCAGTAGACACGTCCTTACACATAGGAATAATAAGATACAATTAATCCACTGGGACCCTCTTTTCTTCCACATATATCCAACTCTGTCCCTTGAAAAGCATGCTACTGAGAAAATCATTATTATACTAAGAACTATACTTACGGCTGTTATCTCCAGAAGTCCGATGTCATTCTGCATCTTCTTCTTCTAATCTCATTTGATTTTCAAATCCATGACCATTTAGAGCTGCTTGTAACAGCAAGAGGGAGGGAGGGAGAAAGCAAGCTGCACTTGGTGAATCGAAGGTTTTTAGCAGTCCTCACTATATATTCAGAATGAATTTGGGGGGAGGGATCTCTCTCCATTTAGTGCCTTCACTAAAGTATTTCTCTCTTGATTGGCGAGCCATCTCTGAAACACTTTATCAACAAGAACATCTGAGCGAAACCGGGTGCAGAGTTTCCTGCCTACAGCCCCTGAAGCAGAGCGAGCCTTGGGCGCCGCTGACTTTTTAGAAAAAAAATATTGCTGAAAGGATGAAGTAGTAAAAAAATATTATCACCACTAGAGGGACTCAGAACATCGAAAAATCTTTCCTGCAGTTGTGAGTTATGTTGAATCATATTTAACTATAAGTGTGCCGTGGGCGTTTGTTGGCTCCACCAAGTTTAGTATGTTGCATTAAGTTTGGAAAATGAAGTCCCTCATCTGCTTAACTTGTATGTTATCTGCATTTATACTGCCAAGAAATGAGCAATATGTGTTATGAATATAATAGACTGATAGTAATCAGACTGAAACTGTCATTTGTTTCAAGTAACCATGCGAGCACAGAGAATTAGTTACTCGATGCCAGATAGTTTGGTATTTTATTTATTCTCTGTTCTCCTGCTTCTTTTCCTGTTTCTAACATTCTTTGCTGGAAAATGATTTCAGTACAATAAATATTCAAAGTGGGTTTTGTTAGTCTAATAGCTACTTCTGTATTTTCTGTTTCCAGCTTCCAGTGAGAGTGCTTAAATTATCTTCTCAGAGAACAGCCACACTGAAGTCTATTCCATTATCATCAAATGTTGACCATCAGAGAAAATAATTGTACAGCCCTCAACTGTAATCATATTCAGAGCTTTGCTGGTTATCCCAAGATAACTAGTTTTGAATTTAAATTCATTGTTTTCCATCAATAAATACCATCAGTTTGTTTTATCCTTGTTCAGAGATTAACTCATCCTCTCCATGAATATGAATTCACAGTTTACCTAAATAAGGTAAATAACATAAAAAATAACTGAGATTGGAACAAATTTTTGGTTATAATCACGTAACTAAAGCTCTGCTTATTTTTAGAGAAACACACAAAGTCCTCAATTGTGCATGTTTTTCCCAGACCTAAAAAGACACAATTTTTGAAAGAATTAAAATTTTGACTCATTATAAGACAAAAGTTGTTATCAAATAAAACAGCATAACTAGCTTTTTTTCTGATTCAATCCAACTTTAAATAGTGTTTTCATAAGAACTGAATTGGTGGATTTACCAGCTGCAGGGTAAATACAGAATAATAAATTCTCATCTAATGCTTAAGTAACTGAGTAAATAGTAAGACTAACTCTGAAAACGTGAGATAGAATTCTCTTTGTAGGGAGAAGGGCATCAATCCAGAATTTAAAACTGTTATTTGTAAATGTGTATACATAACTGGTTGTATCTGTTCAAGGTGATTAACCATAAAATCATAGAATGTAACTGTAAAAAGATACCTTGGAGAACCCTTAGTCAAACTCCCAGTCCACTGCAGGAATCCACTACAGCAGATGTCAAACACAAGGCCCAGGGGCCAGATGCGACCCGCGAAGTGGTTTCATGTGGCCCGCGAAGCCATCCTGGAAACAGTGAGGGAACGGCCCCGCTGCCGTGGCCCTGGCCCAGGCCAGCAGGGAGCCAATGTACAATTTTGTGGTGTCCATCTTGGCATTTGCCCCAGTGGACCATGCCTTGGCACTTGCCCCAGTCCCACCCCCTTCTGCCAGAGACCCTCAGATCTGTCCCACTCCTGCCCAGGCCCCCACAGGCCCCCTTGACGCGAATGATGTAGAACTGGCCACCCAGTAGGCCACACCCACTCCATTCTCACCCACCCAGTAGGCTGCACCTACTCTGGCCACACCCACCCGGCCCCCCAAGGGCAACCGCAATGCTGATGCGGCCCTCAGTGAAATTGAGTTTAACACCCCTGCACTATAGCATTCCCCATCATTGAATATCCATCCTCTTCCAGCTAAGGAAAACCCATCACCTTCAGACAGTCAATTTGAAGGATGTCTGAATAACTTTAATCTTTAAGAATGTTTTCCTGAGGTCCAACCAAAATCTACTTACCTGTGACTTAAACTCCTTGTTTCTTGTTCTGCCTTATGGAACAATTCTGAATAATTCTGCCTCATCTTTTACATGACAGTCTTCAGATACTGACAGACAATTGTAATGTCTTCCTGCAGTCCTCTTTAGCTCCAGGTTAAATAGATCCAGTGCCTCCCACCATTCCTCATACATTCCTATCTTCTTGACTATTGTCCTCTAGAAATAGCCCAGTTGGTCAATATCTTTTATAAATGTGGTATCCAGAAATGAACACTATTCTAGGTGCAGTTTGACTATTCTAGAACGGAGATATTTATACTATTCTTCTGTCTTTCCTTTCCTTTCCTTTCCTTTCCTTTCCTTTCCTTTCCTTCTTCTCCTCTCCTTTCCTTGCAGCTCCACCATCCAGTTGCTTCATGTTCAGTTTGTGATCCAACAAGACATCAAGGTTTTGTTGCACTTGCGCAGTATGAGCACTTCATCCTATATTTATGCCATTGATTTTTCCTATCAAACACAGATGACATTTGCATCTTCTCAAATTAATTTTGCTGGGTTTTCAGCAAAATATTTCAGTTTCTTAAAATTCTCCAGAGCCTTGCTACTGCAGTCTATCTTTGGGTCATCTGCAAATTTGCTAATCATATTTTCTAACCTCATCCAGCTCTTTTATAAAGATGATCAACAGCACAGCCCTAGGAGGGTTTATTTCTTTAAAAATTATTCAGACATTGCTGCAACCATCATGCAATGTCTTTATAAATCCTGTAGCTTCTGAATCTGTACAGCAACAAGTCAGTTGATCAATAGATGGCAGCAAACACTTTGATTAAGGTATAACAAATCATCATCACTCCCAGACCATTGGAATGAATGCTTCCCATGTTTCTGGTCAATATTAAGTCAACTCCTACTTTCAGAAAGGATAATTGTGTAAGTTTCTTCACACAAAAAGAAAGTGACACCTCAAAGGCTAATATATTTATTGTGACTTAAGTTTTATGGAGTCAAGTCTACTTCGTCATATCCATGAAGCATGTTCCTTATTTGGGAAATGTATTTGCACACAGATACAGATGAGGGAATGACATTGTAAAGTCAAAGAAATAGAATGCCAAACTTATGGATTGTGACAAATATATTAAAGTATAAATTATGTAAAGTAAATAGCGACAATTCACGGAGCTATATTGATAATAAAAGCACAGTTCTTATAGCTATGTTTATTGATGCATAATATCCTTCTTAACAGTGTGAAGATGTTTTAATGTTGCATTCCCAAACCACTCACATAATATTATACATTAGTTGAATGTATTTTTATATTCAGTTAACCATGTTTGTGCTGCTTCCATAACTAGTCATTCTTGATGTATGGATCTGATGAAGTGAGAGATGGAATTCTGTGCTTTCAAGCAACTATAAATGTTGGAAAGATTTAGCAGGAAAGATTTCAATGACTTACAGAAAAGGAAGGAGCTATAAAATGTGCCATGAAATACAATTTTAACAGATGTGCAGCATATAATATATATAATATCTGCAATATTTTCAGTAAAACATCCACCACTCTTGTAATCCAGCAGAATATTTTTATACATCAAGGAAAGAACAAATCTCCTACTGCCAGAGACTTTCACTGATACCAAAATTAATTTATTAAAAATGCATTTTAATCCCATTTGCTCCCCACTGCCAGGTTTGCATATGAATATGTTCTTGGTTGTGTTGGAGAAGGACAAACAGATCTGGGGTGGAGAGGGAAACATGCTATCAGTTTAGAGTCTACAAGAGATCCAAGTTCAACCTATACGTTTAGAGTCTACAAGAGATCCAAGTTCAACCTTCCTTGAATTCCACCGATCCTTATTTAAAACAAATGTAGGGCTGACCGTTATCCCAAAAATGCTTTTCAAAAGGCAACGGGACTTTCTTAGGCTTTTTTTCCCCTTGAAAATGTTTTGCTTTTCATCCAAGAAGCTTCTTCAGAAAAAAAATAAGAAAACTAAAAAAGTCCATTTGCCTTTTGAAAAGCAACCATGATCTGGATGACATTTGCTGAACATTGGTTAACCACATTCTTGTGTATAGGGTTCAATAAATCGTTTTGCTGCAACCTTCATGAATAGTCCTAATTCTTTGTGCCCGGCAGGTTGTTTTTCGTTTGTTCATTTGTTTGTTTTATGGAGCCTGCCATTTGTTTTGTTTTGGGTTTTGTTTTGCTTTTTTTATAAAGCAGCAAAGTTTGGCTGTTATTTTCAACACAAAAATACTGCTGTTTTCAACACGGAATCATTAAACTATAGACTCTTGTCTGTCAGGAGACCAGGTGCATTATTGATCAGATAACAACACTCACAGTTGCACTTTGCCCAGAGGGAACTACTTTCCTGGGCCAGGCAAGTAATTTTTTAAGTTCTTCCCTAAAGCTATCGTGAAGCCAGGCATATATGAAGGGGTTATAACAGGCAGAACTCATAGCAAACCAATGGCAAACCAGTTGGATAAGGCTGAAATAATAAGCGTCAATGGCATTAATGTTAACGTCCCGAATAAAGTTGAAGGCATGAAGGGGAAGCCAGCAAACTCCAAAGACCACCACTACTATGACCAACAAGCAGAAGGTCCTTTTCCGCCTAGCTCTGTCCCAGTCTGCCTGGTTTTTAGTGACACTGCCCGGCATCACCCTGTTTTTTAGTTTGAGGGAGATCTTGATGTAGGATATGAGGATGGCCAGCAAAGGAAAAAAATAAGTAATGAGCAGCAGACACAAAGCATAGGTTTGTCTTTGGTGTTCTTGCTCCCCCCAGAACTCCTCACATAGGATGACGCCTTGCTGATCCAGCTCCACATAATAGGTGTGTGCCATAGCTGGCAAGGCTAAGCAGCAGGACAAAATCCAGATAAAGAGGATCATATAGGCACTAAGCTGAAGGGAGACACGGCGTCGCAAAGGGTGTATAATGACAATGTATCGGTCAACTGCAATGGTGACCAAGGTGAAGATAGAGACATAAACAGTCACCGGCTGCATGAAGTAGACAAAATAGCACATTGCGCTGCCAAAAATCCATCCCCGTGGCTCAAAAACATAGGCAAGAGTAAGTGGGACGCATGTGGTGCACATCGCCACATCGGAAAGGGCTAGGTTCCCAATGAGGAAGTTGGTGACATTGTGCATCTTCTTGACATGCAGAATGACATGGACCAGGAGGCAGTTACCTACCATCCCGATAATGACCACCCCTGTGTACAACAGGATGATCAGCAATTTGAGTCGCTGCACCAGCTGCAAACCCTGGAAAAATATATTGGTCCCATTCGTAGCAGAGTCGAGAGGTACTGCACTGGTGTTTGTAGGAAGGGTGCTAGAACCTTCAAATGATGCATACATTTTGGCCTGTAAGATAATAAACAGTAGTTGTAAGTATGTTCTTTAGACATGATCCACTTATTCTGATTGTGGATTCATATTTCTATTTGTATCTCATTTACATTTACAGTACCCAAATCTGCTTCTTCATATAATAAAATGTTCATTTCCAGCATCAGAAAAAGTATGTGTGCACACAAACACACTCATCCCCATACACGCATATACACAAACATATATTTTATTTTAATGGTTTGGTTACTCATGTTACTGTTTTACTTTTGTTTGTAGGAGAACAAAAGAAGGGCCACAAAGAATTATGAGAAAATGATAAAGGAAATATATATTCAGATTGCTAGCTTTCCAATCACAACATAAAATTAGTACACCCACAGATTCACGTACCCTGATTTTTGACTTTTAAGCAAGTAAATGGACACATATTTTAAAGCAGGTTTCAGCCCTGTTTACCCACGAGATTAACTCCAGGTCTTCCTTCCTTACCACTCAATCTGAATTAGGCTGTTGTCCTTCCGTGCAGCCTGCTGTTTGGAAGAGTGAAATGAGTTTCAGAATCAAAAAGAAAGCATCAGAGAAAAATGGGTGACTGGTAAATTTTGATTTTGACCATATCTATGGCTTAATTGCTTATGACCCCCGACAGATAAATGTTTTAAACCCAATTGCTAAGGAGATGCAGTTATCAGCACTTAGTAGCATTAAAGACATGGCAAATAGAAGCTGTTCAGGAAAGAGCAATGGAAGACCTTTTAGGAGTTGTATGTGTGTGGGTGAGTGTGTGTGTGTGTGTGTTTATGCACTGATGCATGAGAACGTGATTTTCAGAAATATTCATGCCTGCAAGATCCCCTTTTGATTTCCTTTTGTCATGTTACTTGATGAAAGATGAAAAATTCTAGAAGAAAATTAGAATAGAGCTATATGTTGCAAAATCATAAACATTAAAGTATTTGATTTCCTTAAGATGGAGCTCATTCTTGCAAATTGATATAGTTGTCTTGGCTCAATCTTTTAATAAATTGACCAGAAAAAAAAGTATGGCTTTCTAACGTCTCCTCTTTCCCCCTCCAACACACATGCTAATCTTCAAAATTCTTCACAACAATAATACAATTCCATCAATATACAATCCATCATCATGCAAATAATAGACAGTGATAATAATGATGATGATCTAGAAACTGAAATACGTTATTACCAGTCTATAGTACTTCCAGTCTACCTGTGGCTTTTTGATTACTGTTTTATTTTCCTTAGTGGAAAAAGCTCGTTTACATGTTTCTATCATCTAGTAAGAGAACATAGGCTGCAGATTTAGAGATAGTATTCCATCCAATGGAATGAGCATGGAGAGGTTTTTATTGCTGTTATCAAATAGAATGGAAAAGTATCTTTAAGTCTACTTGCTGGAGGATCAAGTTAAAAATCATCAATGTCATATCTATTCAAAAAAATTATCTGTTAATTAATGCTTATTGATTTTCTTCGCCCATGATTTTCATTTTTAAGCTGACCTTTTCACAACCTATATACTGGTATCCATTTCAGGTTATCATATCCATGTTCCCACATCCTACAGAGTCGAATAATTAAATAAATATGTAAATAGGTAGCCCATAGATCTATTTCTATTTGTGGAACTTTTATGAATAGACGTGCAAACTGCACTTCTGGGAACAACTCGTTTAAAATAAAATTGCACAATAAAATCAGAGGTATGGAATTATTTTTAAAAACCCAATTGTACCTGCTAGAGGTTGGTGTCAAATTTATAATTAATGCTTTCAGATAAGTTTTTGTTTTTTAAGTCACCACAAGCAACAATATCCTTAGAAAAATGCAGGTTACAAACAGAGCAAATGAATGTGTGTTTAGAGAGTCACATGAACCAAAGCAATATCTAATTTATCAATCAAATATTCTCAAGGAAATGCTTATGGGCACTCCAGAGGTCATAATGAACTGCAATAATACTTAATCATAATAAGCATGCAGCTGAGAGAGAAATATATAATAACAAAAACCTTACTGAGCATCAGAAATAGGATTCAAAACATCTCATTTCTCACCTACCGTTACTAAGGTAAGCTGTCCTATTCGTAGCGAAGGGGAGAGAGTCCTGGAGCTGGAATCATTGTCTTCTTGAATCAATATGCTGTGCCTGGCTTGCAAAACCAACCAAACTGATTGAACAAGAGTTTAAAGCGACAGAGATCAATTTTGCTAGTGTGCCATGGCCAGCAATGACTCCCCTCCCTTTTTTTCCTCTTTTAATTAACATATTAAGACTAGACTGAACGGATTGCTATGTCCCTTCCCCAAACACAAGACTTACTGATGCCCACTTTATCCATTTGAGCTTAATGTTTGCTTTAAAAAGGAAAAGAGAAAGTAAAGGCAAACACCACCACCATCCCGAATTAACTGATGCTCAAGAGACTTTCTTCCCCTTGTTCTTTTCCTCAAAATTCTTGAATAGGTCTATTGAGAAACCTGCAAATATTCAGAAATATTTACTTAGCATCCTTAAAATATTTAGCACACTAAAAAGATAATAAGCCTGGTTAAATAATTTTATTTTTTTTAAATCCCTAGCAAAATATATAAAAATAATTGAAGCATAAGTAATGATCATACTGCATTGGGAGGATTGTAAAGAAGGGCTTGCCCGATTTTTAGTAATTCCATTAGATGAAGCTGTGGGTGTTCTCCATGGTACTGAAAATATCCTCAGAGCTGTTGTAAAAAGTGTCTTCTCATCGTGTCTGACACCAACATGCTTAATGAACTGTTACATTGCCTGATAGAAATTATGCATACAGAAACAGCTGGGGACGTGCTTCACCCCCATTGAACCCTGACAATAGGAGGAAACATAATGACTTCCATTTCATTAATGCTATTCCCAAATTGGTCAACAGCTGAGGCTTTGGAAGATATTTATATTTGGCTATCAGTGAAGAGTTGCTATTACTTTGGTTTTTCTTAAAGAATAATTAATGTTGCAACCATAGCATAAAATGTATTGAGCATGCTATTTTATCACCAGTCTCATATAGAAACTTAAACATGTTCTCTGGGGCCTATTGCTATTAATAAAAAAGACATCCCAAAAATCTGTCACTAAACACAATGCTATTGAACAGAATAACAGTTTATGAACAAATATTAAGTATTGATTTCTTTTCTCTAACGTTCCAGCCTTGTGGCTGCAGAGGGATGATTTTCCACACTACTCCCTCTTTCTTAAACATCATCAGTGTTTCTTTTGTAGATTGATTAAACTGTGTCCTTTTAACAATATATTTCTGGGAGGAAATAATGAGATGTGTAGGCTATATATTATGGTTTACTTTACAAAATCTGAGTCTCAAAATGTTTTTAATCAGCCATTTGTGTATAAACACTTTTCAAGTTCAGAGGATAATCAGCAATTCTAGCCGAAAACTGAGCTGCATAGTCAAATTGTGTCTTATGGATTTGATATTGTATATACAACATAAATAAGAATGTGACAGTCTTGCTGGCTAAAAACTGTCTTTGACAGCATCCTGGACCCACAAATTGTTGAGAAGCCAAGATAAATGAAATTGGTTAGGGGAAACGTTCCACTGCAAAAAGTAATCCAACAGTATCCATTTCTATGTTTCCAAATTCCATATCAGAGCTTCTTGTTTGTTTCCAAAAAGTACAATCCAATACTTTTCAGATTCATTTAATTAAAAAAATGGAAATCCTTTTTGTGAAGCTTGTGAATGTTAAGCTGCATTTTTGAATTATTATAAACTTCATATTTTTTCTCTTTTTCTATTCTTTTATTAGCTAAATATAAAAAACAATAAACAGAATTATAAAATAAGAAGGGTGGATAGAAAGCTTAAAAAAGAAACAGACATACAAAGTATATATTCTCATACATATATACATATGTAAATTTTAAATATTTCAATGCGGGGAAGCCATAATTCCTTACAATTATCCATCATAATTCCTTACAATTATCCATCATAATACCTTACAATTATCCATAGGTCATCTATGTTGATAAGTTATTGATTCATGCATTCTTGGTAGCATCAGTTCGGCAGACCACTGAACCAAAATATTTATTTTTCCAACACTGAAGAACAAGTCTTCTAGCTGAGGTACAGAAAATCTACCTCCTTTTTCCAAATGTCAACTCCCATATGATAGGGATAAATCTCAGAAGAATCTGACCATCTGAAAATACTGCATCTCAATATAAGTAATAACTGCTTTCCCAAATGGAACAGTTGCTGGGGACTGTACAAACATATACTTAAATAAAGCATTAATTTAAATGCATGAGATTCAAAGATTCAAACCTTCCAGCAAAATTGGTTTTACTTAGTCAAGTTTTCTTTTGCTTATTCAGTAGCTCTAGCTGTTCTAATATCACAATTTTCTATTACATTAAAGTGTAATACGATATCTCGAGACATAAAGAGTCATAATGCTATACATGGAATCATGTATAGCAATGGACATTACTCTGTACAAAGCTGTAATTCACCGGACATGGACAATTCACTGTGTCTGTAATCCATGTATGGTTAGGAACATCACAAAGTCCCTGCTGGTTTCATCTCAAAGCTGAACATTTTATGTCACCAAGGATCTGACTGGGATGCTGAGAAGCAAGACCTGGGGTCTTGTTTTCTATGTTTCCCTAGTAATTAGTATTTTAGAGGCATATTTCGTCTAAGTCTTGAAGCGGTACTTAGCTATCAAGATTATTTATTAATTTATCTAAATTAATGGTGGGAGTGTCCTATTTTAACTATAATTGCATATTAATTAAATCAAAATCAAATCAAATATAACTTTATTGATTAATCAATTTACTGAACATTCAAAAAGAATAAAATAAGCTAAAATGAAATAAAGTGAGACAAAATAGAGTAAGTTCAGATGAAATAAAAGATAACAGAGTACGTCAAAATAGTGTAAGATAAAAGAATGTAGAAACATAAGATGAA